TTCCCTACTTTGCTACCTTTGTTGAAAAATCAAATAACTATCAATACATGTGATTTCGGTCGCTCTACTTTCCTATCCTAATGCCTTACAGACTCAGATACCAGTCCTCCTGAGCCAATCCACAGATCATTCTGAATAGCTGGCCGCTCTGTTTATGGTCACATGTAGCGTATACATTCCTGCGGAAGAATCCCATCTCCCATTTCAGTACATTCCTCACAGTGCCAGGCACACAGTGGGGGTCCAAAGCATTACTGAATAAAGCCAAGTTCAGAGTCAAGTTACAAATGGTATTGTTGAAATTGTTGAACCTTAACTGAGGTAAAGGGGCATTTAATAAAGAGAAAACCGAAAAGATACATACCATATTTTTAAAAATGATCTTCACAAATATTCTGTTTAGGTATTGATCTCTTTCAGTACTAATGTTACCAACAGTGTGGTAAAAAGTGAACACAGAAGAAAAACAAACATGAATGTGCACTGTTAAGTAGTTTCTTGTTTATAATTGGTAGAGTCAATGCCACCTTTTTTCTAAAATGATGAGGACAGTTTTGGGGGGGTTACTTGCAGTGTTCATTTAATTATTACATGTATTACACGGTCTGTAGTCTCGTACATTTAACTCATGGGGAACCATTTTTGAGGCCTGCTACTTTATGCTATATTCTAGGCAATGAAGCTCTTGAAAACTCAAGCACAGGACGACAGTCAGCCCTTTTGCCATAAGGAGCCAGACTGCCCCATCGTCCTGTTACTGCGTTTAAACTGGGGGACTGCACAAATCTATACTATTCTATTGCTTACACACACAAAAACCAAGTAGTTGACGAATAACCCGATCTTCTGATGGATCCTACCACTTGGCCGTTCTGAGCTTTGATCTGTCCAGATAGGACATTAAGGAAAACTAGGACGTTAGTTAATCTAGCAGATGCCGTATCTGTGACCAGATTTACTGCTTGGATATATGAAACGATGTTTTGCCTCATCAGGAATTTATCTAAACTTCGATTTTATTTTTATTAGCTCACTTAAGCTGAGAATGTTTGGTGCTATTGTTTCATTTCTTCATTATATTATTTTTCTTTTACAACTTTGTTTTTCTTTTCCATGTCATAGGCAAAACAAGCCAATCTTCAAGGAATGCTTTTTCTTTTGCCCATATCTTATCTTAGCATGTAGTCGCATTAACTTTAGTTTTTAACTAAATTTAATTTACTGCAGAGCCAAGCATAATTCGAGGTAGTTTCTAATCAGTGATTTCTTTCAGGAAAAATATAGACAATGTTTTTTATTAAATAGAAGCTTTGTACCTCTCTACATCATTAATCTTTTCACCTATAATCATCTTAGCTGTAGGAATCAAGCAACTATTATGTAATTGATCATTAGTTAAATAGCCATGGAGATAAGAAATATTTTTCTTTTGATAACATTTCATCTCTAGACTGATGCTTTAATTCTTAATTGATTATTAAAAGGCTTAAAATAATTCTACCTTTAAACTTTAAAAAGTTACACATGGACCAGTTTTCAAATACATACAGTTCACAGCAATGAGTACCTGTTAATTTATCTGTCATCAATAGAGCACTTCACTGAATAAAAAGGACTGACTACTGTGTAAAGTGTTTATGATCTTCTGTGAAACCATAGTCTATCGTTAATTTGTAGCTATAAGTTATCCTTATAGTTACCACCTGTATTTTTGATACATGTGAAATTGCAACTCTAATTTATTTTGCCAATGCTTTCTGAACAAATCAATGTTTCTGCTGGAAAAAAAAACACATAAAAACTTTTGGTGATATTCACGTTTCATAATAGCCTACTAAAACGTGGCTAATATTTTATATTTTGTTTTTTATTCCACTTTACATCCCCAGGAGAATGCCCTTAGGTTTTGGAAGTACACAGCAGAAGGATTTAGTGGCAAACTATCCTAATAGCTGTAATTCCATGTAAAAATTACCTACCGTTCTTCTGTTTAATCTTAAGCCAATATGGCATAATGTTAACGGCGGACTTTATGCCATAAATGAATTCAGGGATTCGCCGCCCTATTCTCCTTTTCGGTGTGGTAGAATTTGCACCATAAACCATCTACAGACCTAGTCATAGTCGTGGATAAGCCCAGTCTTATGCTGTAATGATCATATTGGGCTTTCTGGGCTTTTTTTCTGGCACACGTAAGATCAAGGAAGTTGTCCTATATATTCTTTAAGGCCCTCTCCTAGGTTTGAGGTCTGAATTCTTACCATTTGAAAACTTTCTACTTGCTAAGAGGGTAGAAATTTCAGAAAGACCATGAAGACAGTTAGACTTCATCTGACAATCACATTCAAGTCAGTTAAGATGTGCCCAGACCAAAAAGGGTTAAGCAGCTTTAAGAACGACATATAGACTCTTTCATTATTTTTCATTTCCACTCACAGAGCTAGGACACAGCAGCTGCCGGAGCTAGGGATCCATCTGCTTCCGTAAAACCACCTTTTCTGGGGGTAGAGGTACACAGGACAAGAGAAGGCATCTTAAAGCGAAGAGGGGTACATGGGGGGCTGAAGAGGGTATGGCCGGAGTGAATCCCTTTCGTTTGTAAAGGGAAATGAAAGTGCGTGTACTCACTTCTCCTCAATCACTTGCTTTTGATACTCCTCATACTCCTCTCTAGTCATCCCTTGGGCTGCTGCAGGGTCGGATGTGCCTCCTTCGTCACTTTTTTCTTCAGACCCACCACCAAATCCTAAATTCTTTACCTGGTTACTTATCATACTTTTCATTAAAAAAGCCATCGTCTCTGCCCCCAGAAAAATAAAACCGAAACTCAAGCAAAATCTGGAAAAGGTCAACAAACAATTCCAAGACAAAAAAAACCCCTCCAAATATTCTCCACGCCGGCAACACATTTAAGAGCAAAGGACTTTGCAGGGCCTCATCCGTTCAAGGGCGTAATGCTTGAGAAGGGTGCTTGTCGGCCGTAAGCTGGATTAGAGTGGTGGACTCCTTAGTACACAGAGGCAGATGGTTCAGATTACTAAAGCATGCAATCAGATGCAACCGATTTCCTTCTGAATTAATACACTCAGCTAATTTCCCCGGGAAAAATCCGCTCCTCCCTCCCCCCCACATTATCTACCCCTTTCTCCCTACCCATTTCTAAATTTTTAATTATAAACGCAGCAGGGCTTCATCAGGAGCCCTTCTTCAATTACATTAATCAGAGCTGACTGATTATATAGCTGTGGTGGAATTTCCAAATTCCAGCCCTTGAGCACAACATCCTGTTGAAAACTGAGTCCAAAGAGACTCAAAACCCAGAAATGCTTCATTAAGCAAAAATAATCCTTTTGATCCATCATTTTATCTCATTGGACTCTAAGTACTTATGCAAGGATTTGCTCGGCTTCCATACTGCTTCAGTCCTTGCGGAGCCCCACCCGTAAACACACAGCCCGGGCAGCCAGGCCTCCTCAGTTGACTTCTCATAGGTGATGTGAATCTTCTCCGGCAGGAGAATCTTACTCCTCTGCATGGAAGCAATGCGTTTGACCTTCCCAACACTCTGACTCAGAGGTCAAAACAATGCGGGTCCCACCAGCAACATTTAACAGGTCACTTTTTTTCTCTGACACCAAGTCCACTTCCTGGATGGCCTATTGAAGCTGTCCGCTGTACACGGATGAAACTATGTTGTATAGCACGGCAGATTCTCTACAGCAGTTTGCTCTGGGTCAAGGGAGGGATCGAGTATGGCTAAGACTTTAATCTACGTTAGTATCTTTCTAATTAAAGCATCCCAAGAGGGGGTGGGGCAGGGGGAAGAGACCCAACCTCTTTGCAGCCTGTGCTTATTATTTTGCCCATAGGCATGCGCCTTCTCAGAAAATCGATGATTATCCCTCAGATTGCATAGAATTACATAATCTGGATTTTTACCTAAAATGCAAGCTTTAGCTATTTTAAGGTCTGCTTTCCTTTTTACTAATCTATTTTAAAATGTTGCTAAAATGGTCTAAATCTGAAAGACTAACGTAGATCATTCAGGATGAAATGTAAACATCACTCAGAGCTCTCTGATAGAAAGGTACATTCATACTTAGCTCTGGCCCAGCCTCTGTGGTGCAGCTGGTAGTGTACCAAAGCTAGAAGCCATGTGCTAATCATGGTTCACATCCGCAGCCCGACTGGCCTGCAAACATGCAATGCATGCCTAGGGGCCTGGCGGGCTGGAGAACGAGAGGAGGCTGATAGCGGTGTGACCACGCCCTGGGTAGGGTGCCTCCCTACCTCTCTCTCTCATGCCCATGCACACACTCTATCATGGATAAGGTGCTTAAAAATTAAGAAGAAAACTTAGCTTTATTTTATTTTTAGAGAGTTTTTTTTTTTTGCTATAGAATGGGTGCACTTGCTGGAGAGACAGAGACAGAGAGACAGAAAGTGAGAAATCACCCCCCCCCCCAGGGGGCATGGCCATGCCACAATCCCTTCTCTTTTATTATCCTCTCAGGATTTTAGGCATGCAAGCACATGTGCCCAGTGTGAGCTTTAAGCCACTGGGTCTGGGACTCGAACCATGGTTGAATATGTGGGGGCCCAGTGATGTAACCATTATGCTATCTGCTGATCCCAACTTAGCTTCACGTTAATGCTAAGTGGGTTCCTTGAAACTTAATACCCTTATCTTTAAATTACCACTAATAATAAGCTATATCTCATCACGATTTTAGGGTGTTGCTAATGTATTAGGCCCTTGGGAAAGTCATGATACATTTTCCTATGTTTTTCTAAGCAAAAAAAGCACTATGACTTTCTAGGCGGCCCAATAGTCTCACAGAACTTTCAGACCACAAAGCAAAAGCCATACTTTTGTATTTCTGTCAGTTATTTATTTATTTTCTGTTTTCTAGTTCAGTACACAAAAATTCTCCTAAAGAAAACACCGGACAGGGGCTTCATGCCATCCCCATCACCCCGCAGCTCAGCAGTGCATAGGGGACCCTAGCCCACATGGCTGACTGCAGTTCGAATGAGAGCTTGAAGGATATGCAGGCTGCATACATGAGCCCGTGCCCCAAATCCTGACCGGATGGAGACAAGGGGGAAAAGGGGTTGCGGCACGGCCATGTCCTATTGTGGCGTGCTTTTATCATCTCTTGTCTGGAGAACACACAGACACTCTGGTAATAAAACCACCACCACCACCAAAACAAAACAGGAAGCAAGCCTGTTCCCTTCCCCCAAACCCCACACTTCCCAAGTGAAAGGGCAACGAAGAAGTGTACAATAACCTAGTCAGAAAGTGAAATCCCTGTTACACCTACAGCTGGCTTTGATTCGACGGGTCTGAGTTAGAGAGTGAATATCATCTGAAAATGAACAACGACAAAATAATAAAAACCCAAATAATAGACATAATTCATTTTATTGTAAGTATTTAAATCGTTATTTAAGTTTATTGTGAAATCTGTTATAAAACTTCCATTTTATCAGGAATTAGAAAATAGTAGGTGTATGCACTCTACGGCAGAAACTGAAAGATTGGAAGGCGCAGAAGCAGGAGAAGGAGCTATGGATACCAGAGGCAGTATGGGAGGAGGGCAGGAAATGTGAGGGTGTGGGGAAGAAGGGAGTCGGGAAAAAAGTTAACCGAACAAAAATATAGAAAATATATCTGTTGATGACGAGAGAGAGAGAGAGAGAGAGAGAGAGAGAAAGAGAACAGTAGGAAGAGGGAGGATGCCACTTCTAAACTCCAAAGCCAGTTTGTAAAGTCTCTCCCTATCCAGACCTTTCTCTGTGTCTGTGGGAGGAGGAGAAGAGGGGCGTCAGGTGTTACAGAGACCATTAGGTGGCAGCCACACCGGCAGGGCAACCAAACACACTTCCAGTACTGCTTTGCAATGTCATGAAGTCAAATCTCTCATGGTGTTTCCTCAACAGATAATTCCATCGAGAATGAGAATCATGTCTTTAAAGCATTTCCTTTCCTCAACGTCCTACAATGGCCTTTCCACTTGGACATCCCGGAACTGTTTCCTACTGTGTAGACTCTTGTAGAGTGTCTGTAGCACATGCTTTTCTTCCAGAAAGGGGAATGTCCCAGGGTTCACGAAACGGGACCACTAGCTGTGTCTTAGTTCTTTCCACATCAAAGCCATAGCGATTGCCGCTGCCTAGTTGCCATGACAAGACTATTTGTTATACATTTAATAAATCATGTCTCATCCTCATTTAATGGCTCACCTTTCTAAACACAGATTGGTTGGGATCTACTCAGCTTGAAAATTTTAATGGCATTTGATGTGACCTAAAGAATTTACTAGACAAGCAATAATCCCATTAGTGGGATTGGATTTTTTTTAAAAAAGATACCACATTCAAGCAGCCCAAAGCCACTTAGCCCTTCACCTGGGCCTTTTCTTTTCACACGAACCGCTTCATTTTGTTCCTGTCATTGAGGTTGGTTATTGGTATGATGGCTGTTTGATCTTCTGGGAAGTCAGGGCCATTGGGTTAGCGTGTCTCGGCTGTGAGGATGGTGTTCGGGGGCAGCCCTACATCTAAACCTCGGGGCTCATGACGGTGAGCGGGTCTGGCAGGATAACGGTGTGTGAGTGTAGGGGTGGCTTAAGGAAGGGACCCCGTGGGAGGGACTTCCCATCTCCTGTCTAACTACTAGTAATGTTATTTATTTATTTATTACTTTTTTTTTTTGAGAGGTTTTTGCTACAGGGCGCGTGCGCTCGCCAGACAGAGAGAGACAGAGAGACAGAAAGCGAGAAATCGCCCCCCAGGGGGGATGGCCACGCCGCAATCCCTTCTCCTCCATTCTCCTCTCGGGATCTTGGGCACGCACGCACACACACCTGGCGTGAGTTTTAAGCCACCGGGTCTGGGACTCGAACCGCAGTGGACTACGTGGGAGTCCAGTGACATAGCCATTACGCTAACTGTTGGTCCCACTACTAGTAATGTAAAATGAGAAACAGGGTCTTAGAAAAGGAAAGGACATTGTGGAAACTAAGAGCAAATGAAATGCATGATTCTAATCATACCGCCTACCTGTTGGAGACATGCGAGCGGTTCCTGTCTGATGTCACAGCACATCATAGACACTTAGTACGTTCTTGTCAACTATATCAAAATGCCAGTGCGAATAGCATGGGGCCTTGCATTTCTGCAGAATTGGTTAACGTTTACCAGACACAAGATCAAAAGATCAAAGCTACACGTCGGCTGTGCACAGAGGTTTCTCGGTCTCACGATTCTCACTGGACTACGGGCCTCGGGACCATCTTGATGCCTGCTCTTCAGCACCGCCTGGGTCGACCTTGCCTGTGGTGAGACCACTTGTGACTGTACAGACGCCCAGCCTATCTTGAGAGAGGTTTTTGCTACAGGGCGCGTGCGCTCGCCAGACAGAGAGAGACAGAGAGACAGAAAGCGAGAAATCGCCCCCCAGGGGGGATGGCCACGCCGCAATCCCTTCTCCTCCATTCTCCTCTCGGGATCTTGGGCACGCACGCACACACACCTGGCGTGAGTTTTAAGCCACCGGGTCTGGGACTCGAACCGCAGTGGACTACGTGGGAGTCCAGTGACATAGCCATTACGCTAACTGTTGGTCCCACTACTAGTAATGTAAAATGAGAAACAGGGTCTTAGAAAAGGAAAGGACATTGTGGAAACTAAGAGCAAATGAAATGCATGATTCTAATCATACCGCCTACCTGTTGGAGACATGCGAGCGGTTCCTGTCTGATGTCACAGCACATCATAGACACTTAGTACGTTCTTGTCAACTATATCAAAATGCCAGTGCGAATAGCATGGGGCCTTGCATTTCTGCAGAATTGGTTAACGTTTACCAGACACAAGATCAAAAGATCAAAGCTACACGTCGGCTGTGCACAGAGGTTTCTCGGTCTCACGATTCTCACTGGACTACGGGCCTCGGGACCATCTTGATGCCTGCTCTTCAGCACCGCCTGGGTCGACCTTGCCTGTGGTGAGACCACTTGTGACTGTACAGACGCCCAGCCTATCTTGACCCTCTCCTCCTAGTGACCGTCTTCGGACCTGCATCTCAGGTTGGCCCTGCCATCTGCCAGCAGCGCTCAGCAACATCATGCCCGGCGTTATCTCAAAATCCCCAAAGTGTTTCTTGTGCCAACACTTTTTAAATTTTTTTTTGGAGAGATTTTTGCTATAGGGCATGAGCACTCGCCAGAAAGACAGAGAGAGGCAGAGAGACAGAAAGCGAGAAATCACCCCCCAGGGGGGATGGCCACGCTGCAATCCCTTCTCCTCCATTCTCCTCTCAGGATTTTGGGCACACATGCATACGTGCCCGGCATGAGTTTAAGCCACTGGGTCTGGGACTCGAACCACGGTCAACTACATGGGAGTCCAGCAACATAGCCATTACGCCAACTGCTGGTCCCTTGGGCCAACACTTTTGTGACTGGCCTACTTCTGCTCATGGGGCTTGCTTCTTGGTGAGGTAGCGTGCACCTGTATTCCATCGGGTAGCCTTCCTGTCAGAGCTTCCATGCTGGTGGCGAGTGGTAGGAGCGTCAGTGCTCGATCACCTCTGACAGGACGTGCAGACCTCCGTGATCTGGTTGTAAATCTCCGTGTTGCTTCAACACGGAGAAGGAAAGTAAGTTGAGAGCCAGCTTCCCTCGCAGCTTTCCATGGTGGCTGAGTGCTCTGAGCTAAGCCCTGTCCACACGTGGGCTTCAGGTCCGTCTGCCGAATTGCTACAGTGGGCTTGCAGCATGCCTTTCTGCTTGGTGTCCTACGGAGGCTCTTAGAACTCTATCAAAGCAGACATTCTAAGTTCGTCTTACCCTCAAAGCTTCAGTTCTCGGAGGCTTGAGAAACCCTGAATGCGGTGTCTTTTTTCTTGTTTTAAAAAATTCGCCAGAGGACATAGGTGGTGGCTGGAGAGACAGAGAGAGAGAGAGAGAGAGAGCGAGAGAGTGAGCGAGCATGGGAAAAGAAGCCATGCTGCACACACACAGTGCCCAGTATGTTTTTCAAGCTGCCGGGTTTGAGACTCAAGCTGCACGGTCAGCCATGTGGGTTCCGGTGACTCTAACCACCTGGCCACAGGTTGGCCTTGCGAATGTGGGGTCTCTCACCCAGGTTCACCTGCTAAAGGACTATGACCTCAATGCAATGATTTCAGCGTTAATTGTTCTCATGAGAGTGCTGACGTGGGGGCCCACACAGTATCCCGTTAATTTTTTAACAGAAAGTAACACGCAGGTGGGTGAGAATCTCCACTGGGCCACACCGTGATGGTTAATTTTACGTGACGACTTGACTGGGCCAAGACATGCCTAGGTTTCCGGTGAAACGTTCTTAGTGTATCTGAGAGGGTGTTTATGGACTAGATTTCGATTCAAAGTGGTGACTAAGCCAGGCTGGCAGCCCTGCCCAGCATGGGTGGCATCATCCCGCCTGTGGGGGCCTGAACGGAGCAGGAAGCCGCGTCCCCTCTGCCTGGCTGCTCGAGCTGGGACGGTGTCTTCCCTGGCCTTGGCACTCCTGGTTCTCAGGACCTCAGGCTGGACTGAATCTAAACCACCAGCTCCCTGGCTCTCAGGCCTTCACCACAGGCCTTGGGGCCCCAGCTCTGCAGGTGGGAGATGGCGGGACAGACCTGAGATGGCTTGATCTGGGAGTGCCTAGCCTCCGTGACACCTTACGACGTGCGTGTAATCGGGTCTGTGACTCCAGAGAGCCCCAACACGGCACTCCATGGGCTGGCTCCTGGCAACCACCATTCCCTCTGTGGGCAACAGCAGCAGTGAGGGCGCTGATTTAGATGACAGCAGGGGCCGTGGTGTCACACACTAGGGCCTGCTGTGTTGGCAGAACGTGACAGAAGTGGTGCCACTGCTGGGCTGATAGGGCAGAAGGAGCAGGGATGGCCAACACGGGGGCCAACACGGGAGCCAACACGGTGGGAAGCAGCAGTCCTCGGGAATGCAAGGGGTCCAGAGGAAAAGAAGCTGGGAGATGCAAGGCCTCGTGTCGCTGACCAGTCAGTTAGCGGTCTGAACTGACTTGTGAAAGACACTTAATGGGATTCCCTGCCCTGCTTTGGCCTGCTCCCTCCCCTCCCTTTTAAAGAGATATTTGCCGTAGGGCATGTGCGCTTGTTGGAGAGACAGAGGGAGTGAGAAGGAAAGTGAGAAATCCCCCTCTGGGGGGATGGTCATGCTGCAATCCCTTCTCTTTCATTCTCCACCTGGGATGTGGGGCATGCACACACTCTCATCTGGTGTGTTTCAAGCCACCAGGTCCGACACTCGAACCGCAGTCGGCCATGTGGGAGTCTAGCGACGTAACCACTATGCCATTTGCTGGGCCCAGCACCCCTCCCTGCCAACACCACATGAGTGTGGAGGGAAAGGGCTGAGGTCTGCGGCAGTGTGCCAGTTCACACTGCTCCTGATTTTCAGACCCACAAAATAATAATAGCTAACGCCTCTGGGCTCAAAGCAGCCCGTCCCTAGTGCTACTTAGATTTATCTCATATTATCACCCCATTTTACAGATAAGACATGGAGGTATTGAGGCCCCGATGTGGCCATCCCCACTGGGGGGGGGGGTGAATTTTCACTTCCATTCTGCCTCTCTGGCGAGTGCACGTGCCCTATGGAAAAAACTTAAAAAAAAATCTACATTTCTGTTGTCGCTGTCTGGCCTTCCTCGGGTCACCATTTTCCACCTGGAGCACGGCAGGTGATCTCAAGTCCCTTCCTCCAGTACCTTTCTCTATGACGCAATCAGAGACACAGAGCCCAGAGTGCAAATATCTCCCCACGTTGCTAAGCACCTTCATGGCCGCCCACTGCCCTTGGATGGGGTTCAAGCTCCTTAAAACAGCCTACAGCGCCCTGGAGTCTATCTCTGGGTAACCTATCTGAGTGAGTATCATTTTACTCTCTATTTTCTAGCCTAACAGAAATGCTTTTAGCTGTCACATAAACTGAACAGGGTCTCAACTCCATGTTTTTGTTTCTGCTGAGACAATAATTAGACCTCACATACAGGTAGATAGGGAAAGGGCCCTAAAATGAAGATACTATGTCTCTCTTTTTAACAAAGTCTGTTTTTCCTCTATGGTCTGGTTAATGCACAATATACATCTCTTTTACATGTCTCTAAAGAATTTGACTCCTTGCTAATAAAGCGGGAGACAGGGCTATTGAGCACACAGACAGGGTAAAGATCCAAGATGGAGTCAGTGGCTAACTTTTCACCGGGAAAAGCTGGCTGCATTGAGACTCAAAGCAACTGTCGCTAAGGGCAATAGTTTCTATTTAGTTAACTGTATTCTAACAAGTACAGGAAGCTATGGTCTGCTGACCCCACAAAGAGGGATTTAAACCACTCAGATACCATGTAACTATTTTCTAAAGTCCACTTCCTTATCAGAAAGCAGAAAGCTAGATTAAAAACCCCTTGGTTTTTCATGGGACTGCTAGACTAAAAATCCCTTGCCTTCAGCACCCCCTTCGGGGACCCTATTTGGGCCCCCTTTCATTGCATTGGAAGCCTTTGCTCCTTCTCTAATAAACTCTGCTTTACTCTCTTATGTCCACATCTTTAATTCTTCTTGAGCACAGAACAAGAACCAACATGGGTGTTGGGTTTGATCAGTGCACATGCCCTATGGAAAAATAAGTACACCACACACACACGCACCCTTTTTTTCTATGAGTAATCAATACATACACCTACTTTAGGATATGGTTCAGATAACATCTTCTGTGGGAAGCTCCACCAATCCCCACCCACCACCCAGACCCCTTTAAACTCAGGATTCTTCAAATACAAATATCTGAATCAGTTCTGGAAAATACTCAACTGCTACATTTTTTAACACTTCCTTATCTGATTCTTTTACAGATCTATGTCGTACCTTTTTGTTGATTATCAATTTACTGCATTTTCCACCACTTTAATGTCTGTGCTGCATGCTTAGCAATTTTTTTTCCCAGCTCGATGGTGTAATTCAGTAATTTTTTTTCCCAGCTATGTTCAACCTGGTATCCAAATTTAAATGGGGACTCTTCAAAAAGTTCATGGAAATGCTTATGAACAAACTATGCATAGGTTTCAACTTTTTTTTTTTTTTACATTTTTAATTTTCTTCTGAGAGAGACAGAGACATTCCCAACAGAGTCCTCACACCATGATGTACCCCAAGTCTCAGTTGGCCTAGACCTGGCCACATGCCTGTACCCCAGTGTGCTCAGGGGAATCCCAGGATGCAAACCCAGGACCTTCCCCATGCCAGTCTGGTTGCATTACTGCTGGACCACTACCCGACCCTCAAATGATTCTGTGTCAAAATAAACTCATACTTTAATTCCATTTTTTCTACATTTTTTGAGGTACCCTTTAAGTTGCTTGGGTGGTCCTCTGGAATCCCAATTGTTCTGTTTCTCACTGTTCCACTCCTTTGTTATGATGTCTAGGTTTTATCAACTCTTCACTCTAAAGTTATTTTTAGTGAATGTATCTGTTGTCCTTTTTTGACTGTCCTATTATCTCAGATTCTTAGAGGTGCCAAGTTTCCTACTTGTGTTTACTGTCATTTTCCAAGTTTTTCTTGTTCAGTTTGTAATTTTTAGAACTCATTTAAGATGGACCCTTCTGTGGTTTATCTAAAGTACTTTTCTTGTAAAATTATTGCTAAAAAGTGGTCATTACTTACTTTTGTCTGGATTTTGTTAGGCACAGTTAGCATACCAGGAACAAGAGCTAACAAGGGCCTAGAGAAATGCTTACTTTGTAACATTCTACAGACTCCAATAAAATGGGAAAAACAAAGATTAAAAAGTAGCAAGCTGTATACCTTAGGGGCACATATTTTGACTAAAGGTCTAACAATAAAAGAAAAAAACGATAAAAGGGGACCCCAGTGAAGGAGACAGGGCCTGCTTGCCTCCCCCTGGTACTGGCTGATTCTGTCTATGGAACCAGTCTTTTCTCTCAATAAATCTTATTCTTGTCTTGTTTCCTTGTCCTCCAATTCTTCGCTGTGGCAGGGAAGCAAGAATCACAGATTTCTTAACCTTACAGTTTTACCAGATCAGAAACAATTTATGTAACTATTTCCAGCTTGGAGCAGGTCTCGCTCACAGATGAAGCACTGTGGCTTCATTTCTTGCAGGAAACTTCATCCTGCTGCCCAGAATCCCAGGAAAGAAGCTTCCTTATGTCTCTTCTGAGTCGTTGAGGTGTGCCTAGGAGGACCTTTCAGCCTGTTTCCATCAAAGGAGCAGTTCTTCCAGGGTCCTAACTTTATCCAAGAGTCTCAGGCCCAAAGCCATGTCCTTGGTGGTCCATCTGAACACAGTAAGGTTCAACAATGGTGTCTAGGGCCTTGGTAGTCCTTTCCACCAGCCCTGGCCCTGGGCAGGCTCCCTGAGTAGGGTTTAGTTTCTTCCAAACCTATCGGTCTTTTAAGTCTATTATACGTGGCATTTCTGTGCCTACTATTTATTAATTTATTTTTTAGAATTATTTTATTTTTAAACATTTATTTATTTATTTAAATTTGACCAGAAGGGACAGAGAGAGAGACAGACAGACAGACAGAGAGACAGAAAGAATGAGCAAAAGTGAGAAAGCAAGCCACCAGGTTCAGGACTTGAACCATGGTCGACCACGTGGAAGTCCAGTGCCCATAACCACCACACCACCTGCTAGCCCATGTGTTTATTTCTCAAAACCTCTTTATAGTCTTTTTAAAAATATATATATTTGTTACAGGGCGTGTGTGCTTGCTAGAGAGACAGAAAGTGCGAGATCACCCCCAGGGGAGATGGCCACGGCGCAATCCCTTCTCCTACAGTCTCCTCTTGGGATCTTGGGCACGCGTACACATGAACCTGGCTGAGTTTAGGGCCACCAGGTCCAGGACTCAAACCACGGTCGACTATGTGAGAGTCCAGTGATGTAACCATTACGCTATCTATGGGTCCCTATGTTCTTTCATAGTACTAACGACCATGTGATGTAATATTATGAGGAAACTGAGGGTCACCTATTTAAGTGGCAGAACCAAGACTGAAACCCAGATCTGTCTGACCCCAGAGCCCTAGCTTTCCTTCTATACCAATATTAATTCTCAAATTAGGATTGGTTAAATGATACTTAAACTAAATGATACTTGTCCAATAGGATGCCCATGCTGTGACCACTCGGCTTTCCGCCAGCATCGGGTCATGGCCAGCGCATGCTCAGAGCACGCAGAGTCTCCGCATAGCACCATATTCCATTGCTGTGCCTCTTTCTGCCCCTAGGAGTGAAGACTTTAAAAATCACTACTAATTATGGGGTCTAGCAGGTGGCGTGGTGGCTAAGGCGCTGGACGCTCCCACATGGCCAACCATGGTTCGAGTCCCTCTTTCTCTCTGTGTCTCTCTCTAGTCAAATTAAAAAAAGAATGAATAAATAAATAAAATTAAATAAAAATTAAATAAAAAACATAGCAATGATAAAGCTTTAAAAAAATCACTACTAATTAATAATGACTAAGACTTCCAGTTTAACAACACTTTGCCAGCATTTGGTTCTTACAGGTGAAAATATCAAATATGTAGTTTTTTTTTCCAAGCTAATTTTTATTTAACTTTATTTATTATTATTTTTGAACTTGACCAGAGAGAGAGAAAATGTGAGAAAGCAAGCAGCCAGGTCCAGGACTCGGACAGAGGTCAGCCATGTGGGAGTCCAGCATCTCTAACCACCACGTCACCTGTGGCCCCCACATACATAGTTTTAACTGACTTGTATCTTTCATTACCAACGAAAGTGAGAGTTCTTCATGATCACATCCATGTCTCCTCATTCTGTGTCCGCAGGAGGCAGGCCACCTAGGGCAGCGTGACAGCATGTGGCACTGTGCTGCCACCAGCACTGCCGCACACCAGGGCCCGTGTGGGGACAGGCAAGACAGCTACCAGCACCAGTACCGACGAAGGAAGAAGCACGTTTACTAAAATAGGTCTTTATTCTGAATAAGATCAATGTCATTTCCTGAATTCCAGCTAGCATCAAATATCAGAAAAAAAAACTTGACAAAATGTTTTCCAATCAAAATTAACAGTGGATAGAAAAATTCTTTTAAAACTTTTAAGTTATAACACAAAAGAAATACCTAAACAGGCAACATACAGTTCAAAAAGTTGCAAATGTTGATTTTACGTTAGATCTCATAAATAAAAATATCCCCAATATAGTAATTTTCTTTTTCACTGCTTCCTTTTATAAGCACATAGACAGGGAAATCACATCTTAATATTCACAACTGTTATTTATATTCTTTACAAAGATCATATCTCTGCAATGCAACTGGGCAATTCCTTATTCAAGTTACTTTTGTTTTCCAAGTTATCAAAAAGTACAACTGTCTGAGATAAAATGTGACCACAATCACAACCAGGGAAGTGGAAGGCATTAGCAGGTAGGCGTCAAAATGGGAGTTTTCATTGTTCCGCCGTGATCTGAGGATGATCTTTAAATTAAAAAGCCATTACCTAAGTACCAAGACCTACAGGTAACAATCTGGATTTAGATTTAGTCTGTAGCTACTAATGAATCAAGAGTTTTAGTAAAAGGACCATTAGATTGTAAGTATAAAAGAATCAGTGCACATTTGCTAATGTCGTTGATAATAAAAATATGTAACGCTCTCAGTTCAGCTTTAGACCAACGAAACACCCATTTTCCCCTTCCACTCCGCATCTCCATGGGCCTCAAATATTCGAATGCTCAGCAACACCTCAAGGGCCTACTGAACAATGACAGCCTGAGGTGCCACCTGAGTTTTGATCAGATGGTTTGAAATGGAGCCCTAGACTCTATACTCTTAAATAAACCCTCCAGGACCCAGACTGCCCACGGACCATACTTTGAGAAATATTGGGATCTCTTTTAATACCTAACAAAACTTCACAATAAAGTTTCAAGCTATATAAGACATTCAATCAGAACACAAGTAGGTACATTAAGTAAGGGCATTATCCATTATTTAACTGTATTTTCTTCTTTAAAAATGGCATAATAAACACAATGACTTAGGTGAAAATTTAAAAATCAATTTTGTTTTAATCCAAGGCACCTGTAAAATACTTGCTGGTGTGAGAGAAGTGAACAAATTCAATTTTACAAAAGAGTACAGAAGTGAAAGAATCCTGGCAGTGATTGATTTTTCCCACAAAACGAACATTTTTGTTCAGCAATGCTACTTAACGTCAATGATCTTGAGGAACATGAACCTAACTATGATAAACGTCGAGTGTGAGAAGTGCTTTGAGTAATTTTCTAGCAAATTAGGTTACTAAGTGAAAAAGAAAGGATTCATGCCCATGCTCGCTCACAATGGCTGTCTCCACCGAGCTAGGGGTTATCTGAAGGACCCCCCTGAATGTGACCAGGAAGGGGTACAAAGCATAGACCTGGCGTTTCTCTACCATGCAGGCACATGTGACTACGGACGGGATTACACTGGATTTGGCAGCCTTTTATCTCAGGAGGATTGTTTCAATTTTGCACTCTACAACTTAAAACATGAATTTCAAAATGCTGAGCCAGTTGGTGACATGGTGGTTAAGATGGCTGGGTCCCACATAGCTGACTTGCAGTTCGAGTCCTGGCTTAAGAAGCATGCTAGGCAGGTGTGATGGCAAAATCCCCAAAGGAGGAAGAGATGGAGAAGGGACTGTGGCTTGGCCACCCCCCCACTGGGGTATGTGTCTCACCCTCCTTCTCTCTCTCTCTCTCTCTAGTGAGTGTACACACCCTCTAGCAAACTGAAAAAAAAAACAAAAACCTAACAAACAGAAAAAGAAAGGTTAACAGTACAAAGGGAAAACACTGGAGAAGCATTTCCCACGCTCAAGGGACTGAAGCAGAGCCAATCACCACCAGCACAGGCTCTCGGCGCGCTAGGATAATGCTCGCACAGAGAGTAGGGGAGACGCTGCACACGGCGCCAGTTAGGGATCGCCACAGCACAGGGTTCTTCACAGGGTCTGTACAGATTTTAGGGCTTCAGTCTAATCTGTAAATGACATTTGAGTGCAAACTTAGGAAGGTTTGAAAGAAATTAATAGTATTATTTCATAAATGGTATTTGCCATTCTACGGCAAATGAAAGACGACTTCAGCTAAAAGAGATAAAAGACTATTTTGAAGCCAGCAAAAATCAGTCTACATCAGTGGTGAAACAAACATAAATCTGCATCTTAAATGTCATTTACAGACTGCTTCAGTAATACCTAGAAATACAAAGACCATAAAAAGCCCTCCCAGTCTGACATTTCAGGGTTATGTTTACTAGAAGTGGTTCACAATATCTTTGCTTCTGGAGTTAAAAGGAAAAAAGTTAGAAATATTTACTTATTTTTTGAATTCTGCCTTCAAAACCCTTAAAACTGCGTCTACTACAGCCTTCCTAAGTGTGTGCAAACAGTCACAAACTCCGCGCTGCATGGAGCAATGTAGTGGTAGCTTTGATGAACTTAAAATATCCACGGAACGTATAATCTGAGCTGAATTTCCATGCTGTACAAAATGACAAAATTCCTTAAATTACACATATAATACAAAAATTATTTTCATAATACTAAACTGACATCACTGGAATGAAGACATTGGAAAACACAGGCCATCATGAAGTGACTACATTGCCAGGCAGGACAGCCATACGGACCATCAGCACGGGAATGTGTTCACCTACATGGTTTGTTAGGTAAGAAGCAGCTCTTCATTTTCCTCCAAAACTTCCTCTAAAAGTGAAATATGCCACTGACGAACAGGAACATTTCATGGTGTACATTTCAATGAACATTCTGAAGTCTATATACCCAGATCCTAAAGTTCTCAGACCAAATATTCTTTGCTTTCAAAGGGAACTATATTAAGATGAAAGGACCGCAGGACTGGGTCTTATTAGGAAATTTTGATCTCTAAAAAATACTTTGGTTATAAAATAAACCTTGTGGAGAACTCTTACTCCGGGAAGCTGCAGGGCAAGTGTGTTTGTATTAAATAAAGAAGCCTCCAATACTGGAGACTGGGCTAACACGCATATCCAGGGACTGTCCCCATTTTCCGATTCACCTTCTTATTTTCCAGTATTCTGCTCAGTGGCTGAATTCTACTGACCAGAAATCCACTGACATTTAAACAGATGTATGTACCATGAACAAATGTACATGTGGTTGTCTTTGAAGGTTTATTCTTATGGCAAATCAATGTTGAGACAGTTATTTTATACAAAATGTAATAATTTAGACGATGAAGCAATTTAAATACTTAAACCCCCTCAAAAAGACAACATTTTGTACGTACATATGAGATGTACACATATGAAAATGGTGGTCAAAAGAATTTTTTGGCAGCTGCTTCTTGCTGAGTCCTAAGGAAAAAAAAGAAAGAAAAATGGAAAGAAGTTCTTTACACTTAACTCTGGAAAGAAACAAGACTACTTTAAGTTAAAATATCGGTGCCTTGGGGTCAGCAGACAGTGTAGTCGTTAAGGAGCTGGACTCCCATGTGGCCAATTGCAGTCTCAGTCTCAGACCTGGCAGTCTGAAATCATGCAAGGTGTGTGTATGTACATGCCCAAAGTTCCACAAGGAGAATGGAGGAGAAGGGATTGTGGTGTGGCCACCCTCCCCTGGGGGAAGAGTTTTCTCTCTCTTTCACTTTCTCTCTCTCTCTCTGGCAAGCACACGTGTCCATGGACATTCCGATACGAACATATTTGCTCTGTATAAACTTAATTTTCACTACTGAAAGTTGTGGGCCAGCACATGGCCTAGTGGTTAAGGCAGCTGGATTCCACATGACTGACTGCAAGCACTGTTTTGAGTCCCAAACCCAGTGCCTTGAAAGACAAGCCAGGTGTGTGTGCATGCATGCCCAAATTCCTGTGTGACCATTTTCCACAGGGGTGCTTTCTAACTATATCCCTTCCTGCCCCCAGTGTCTCCCTGGGCTGAGAGTACTCGCCCTCTGGCAGGGAAAAAAAAAAAAAAGTTGTACTATGGGCATATATAACTTCCTTCTGAATTTCGGTATATTTTTCTTTTTTTTTGTTTTGGAGAGGTTTTTGCTATAGGGCGCATGCATTCTTCAGAAAGACAGAGAGAGACAGAGAGACAGAAAGCGAGAGAAATTGCCCCCCCACCCCCGGATGGGGAGAGAAAGAAAGCGAGAAATCACCCCCCGGGGGGGATGGCCATGCTGCAATCCCTTCTCCTCCATTCTCCTCTCGGGATCTTGGGCATGCACGCACACGTGCCCGGTGTGAGTTTAAGCTGCGGGGTCTGGGACTCAAACCACGGTCGACTATGTGGAAGCCCAGCGACATAGCCATTACGCTAACTGCTGGTCCCATGAATTTCAGTATTTCAAACTAAAGATAAACAGAAAAATGTTGCGTCAAATTTTATCAAGTCTTACCTATACATAATGTAACCGATGAATAACACCGTTTGTACCACCACAAATATAACAAAGTGGATTGTAGATAAACATGATGGAAATGGCGGTAGTTCTGGGCATCTTGGCTTTTCATTTGATGGCTGTAAGGCAAAGAACTTTCTATTACAATCAGTCAATTTAGTAGTTTGAAAAAAGAAATAAATAAAACTTCATAAAACTCAGGGTTTACTATAAGCAAGTATTTTCATTTATTCATCCTCCAAGTATCTTCTGTTCCTTAATTTTCACTGTTAACCTTTCTGAAAGGGTAGTTGATATTGGGAAGCTTCTACCTTCCTCACTCACTCACTCCATGTGGCTCCCATCTGTATTACAGTGATGACGACTTAGTGTCCTTGAAGGCCAGAGAGACTAGAGTCACCACAGATGATAAATCCCCCAGACACCTCCATCCACACCTTCTGTACTGGTGTAATTAGTAATGGTGCTCACTTTACTGTACAAAAATGTGCTGCTTCAGACAATGAATTACCTAGTCACTCTACCAGTGAACTACTTGCTAAATATAATTGCTTTTTCTCAGTTCTCATCTTCTCCAATCTTACAGCATTCAACATTACTGACAAGTGTTATGAAAAATGTTTCTTTTTCCACTTCCATGAGTATTCCTTCTATTTTAAGAGCATAATTAAATAACAGGGACAAAGATTTCATCAAGGTATCCAGACTGAATGGCTTCCAAGCAGAGTTGTTCTCAGTACCTTACGTCTCTGGAGCTACGTTCCTCGGCGCGCGCGCACACACACACACACACACACACACACACACACACAGTACCCAAGCAGTTGGGCAAAAGCCTCTAACTAAACTAATGGGGTAGATAATAATGCTTCGGATAAGAGGTAATTTCATTTTATCATTAATATATTCACTAAATATATTTCCTAAATATTACATATTTATTTTTCAGAAAAGCTTTTGAAAAGATAAAATCCTATATAAAATAAAAGGGATGAGACTACTGCTTCTTGGCAGAAAGACTAGGAATACCACTCAACCACATTTTAGAATATGGACCAACCATATTTCAAATACCCTTGCAGAAAACAGTTAGGAGAACCAGAAACAAAGCAAACAAAACCTGACTGAATGGAAAGGAAATAACAAGATAATAAATGATCAGATCAGAACCTTGGGAGAAAATAGGCCAAAGAAATATACTTAAAACAACCTATGGATCAGAGAAAATATTAAAATGGAAATCAGATAATATTATCTACTGGCTGGTTCTGCAGCATGGCCATTAAGGCCTGTGCATAGGGAGCAGGATTCCACATGGCCAACTAGTTGAATTCTGGCCCCAGCAAGCGAAAATACTCAGGGTGTATGTACACTCGTTTCCCAAATCCTGACAGGATACAGAAATGGAGGAGAGACTGTGGAGTGACCATGCCCACTGGGAGGTGGTTTTTTCCTTTCTCTCTTTTTCTGGCAAGCGCACATTCCTTCTGGACAATTAAAAATATATACATTTCTCTTAATAATAATATTAATACTACATGTAAACGGTCACAGGAGAAGTAGCTCCCATCCCATGCTTCTGCCCATGAAGGGTTAACTGCTACTACTGGGACTGCTCTTCCACCTTCACCGACTAGAAAACTAGGACCCACGGATGCCTGAGACCTGGCTCACATAAGCAAAGAATAAAGGAGAACCTGACTTCCTTTCCTAAAGAAGATTATGAGAATTCCACATAGAAGGAAACAGTATTACCGCATTTCGCTGCACCAAGTTATCTATGTCCCTCTTCACTAAGTGCAGGTGCTCTTTGATGTCAATGAAGTGCTGCGTGGTCTCATAGGCGCCTCCTGCGGAGCTGGGCTGCTGTATTCCACTGACCAGTCTGAGGGTTTCACTCATGGAATTCCTGAAACAGAAAATCCCTTTGTACAATGAAATCACCAAGATAATTTTTGGGGGTCAGATTTCAAATGGTTACACCTTGTCAAACTCAGTATATTAGAACATTTAAAACAGGTAAAGAAAATTCAGTATTTAGAAAAACAGAATTGTCTTTAAAATTGCAACTTAACATCATGCTTTCATCTTTTACAAAAGGTCATCTAAGAACAACCACACCAAGGCTACTAAGTAATTTATGTTAAAAACCAGCAGGTGGTGTGGAGGTTAAGGCACTGGACTCCCATGTGGCCAATTTTGGTTTGAGTCCTGGACCTGGTGGCTTGAAAATCACACCAGGTGCACGTGTGTGTGCCCAAATCCTGATGGATTATACATGACCATGCCCCTAAGGGAGATGTCTTATTTTCCCTGTCACCATCTCTCTCTTACCAGTGAGCATCTGCACCCTATGGTAAAAGCCTAGAAAATAAAAATAATTAATTCTGGACACTGAGGTGTGGGTGAGCTTCCCAGGCTGGCAGCCCTTTGCACATGCTGTCCCACACTGCTGCTGGGAGAGTTAAGTCCTATCTGTGAGAGCACTGGGGGTGCACAGCGGGAAGCGTGCCCCTGGGTTTTCTTGGACTCTGCCCTATGTACTTTAATTCTTTGCCGATTTTACTTACTCTAAATCCTTTTGTTGTAATAAACCATAACTGTAAGTACGGCAGTTCCTCTGAGTTCTGTGAGTACTTCTGATAATCACAGACACTAAGATGGATGTCTTGGGGAATACAAAGACAAACATAACTGTTGCTCCTTGAAGTTCTCTCAGATAGGCCCTATATACAGACCTAGCGCTTCAACCGGAAAGCAAGCAAAGAAGCATCTAGCTGTTCCAAATAAGAAGGAAGGAAAAACTAGTTTGGTGTATTGAGGGATGATGTCATAGTCTCCAATATAATACCTTTTTGAAAGGTAATTCTGACCTTACATATAACATTTTCCTTACATACTGACTTGAGCATATAAACTCCAGGCAAGAAGTGATTCCATTATTCAGATGTAAGGTGACGACTTGACTCTACCACTGAGTGTGTCTTTTGGATATGAGCCTGTAAACATGGTAGGAAGAGACTAAACGTATCTTTCTTTAATAACTGCAGAAAACGGGGGACCAGCAGTTAGCGTAATGGCTATGTCGCTGGACTTCCATGTAGTCTGCAGATCGAGTCCTGGACCTGGTGGCTTAAAACTCACGCCAAGCGTGTGTGCGTGCATGCCCAAGATCCCGGGAGGAGAATGGAGGAGAAGGGATTACGGTGTGGCCATCCCCACTGGGGGGTGATTTCTGGCTTTCTGTCTCTTTGTCTCTCTCTTTCTGGCAACTGCATATGCCCTATAGCAGAAACCTCTAAAAAAAAATAAAAAAATAATAACTGCAGAAAATGTAATAGGCCTACTTATCAATAAAGGAATAAATATGAATTTCCATTTACTCTAAAGTATCAAGTTATTTATAAAAAGCTCCACAAATGGCAGATAGTTTGTCACTAACGTTTATGTTATGAATCATCTTCAAGCCTGGGAATGAGAATAAAAAGGCTGGCTGACATGTTCTCGGCTGCTGATGGCTACTTACTGATGAGCACAGGCCCACTGCACTATCCTGTTTCTGTGTATGTCTGAGACGGTCTGAATACCGTCCCAGTTCTCTGGAACCAGCTGGGGGCTGATTACAGAACTTTGTCTAGCTTTCTGTCTCACTCTGTGCTCCCTTTCACCTCCTAGCCTTCTGCCAGCCCTGAACTCATCCCACAACTTCCAGCCTCCACCTTTTGTGACACT